ATTTTTTGTAGAGATGGGGTCTTGATCTTGCTCAGGCTGATCTAGAACTCCTGACCTTGGCCTCCCAAAAGTGCTAGGATTACAGCCTGGCCTCACATTCTTTCAATAATAAGAAAATAACCCAATTAAAAAATGGGCAAAGGAACTCAATAAACATTTTTACAAAAAAGAAATGCCAATAGGTATATTAAAATGTGCTCACCATCACTAATTATTAGGGAAATGTAAATCAAAACCACAATGAGATGACACCTCAAACCTATTAAAATGGCTAACATCCAAAAGATGAAAGATAACAAGTGTTGGTGAGGATGTGGAGAAAGGGAATCCTTGTATACTGCTGATGGAAATTGAAATTGGTACAGCCATTATGGAAGCAGTACACAGGTTCCTCAAAAACTAAAAATAGAACTACCATATGATCCCACTTTTAGATACAATCTAAAGGAAATGAAATCAATTCCTTGAAGCACTACCTGCACTGTCATGTCCATTGCAGCATTATTCACAGTAGTCAAGATACAGAAACAACCTAAGTGTCCTTTGATAGATGAATGTATAAAGAAATAATGGCATGTATATAAAATGAAATATTATTTAGCCTTAAAAAGGATATCCTTCCATTTTTGACACCACATATGAACTTGGGGGACATTATGCTAAATGAAATAAGCCAGATGCAGAAAGACAAATATTGTGTAATATCATGTATACGGAATCTAAAATGTCAAACTAATAGAAACGGAGAGTAGAATGGTTGGAGCTGTTAATCAAAGGGTACAAATTGAAAGTCTGTACTTTCAGTTACAAAGTAAATAAGTTCTGGATAGGTAGTGTACAGCATAGTAACTAAAATTAATAATAATATATTGTATACTTGAAATTTGCTACTGGAGTAGATCTTAAGTGTTCTCACCACACACAACAAAGGTAACTATGTTAGGTGATGGATATGTTAATTAGTGTGATTATGGGAATCAGAACACAGGGTATACTTATATCAAAGTATATAACATGTTGGACACCTTAAATATATAATAATTTTTTCTTTGTCAGTCACACCTCAATAAAGCTGGGAAAAATGTTTGTCTTTTCAGATGATCTTTGGGTGGTTTCAAAAACCCTAGATTTTGAACTGGATACTTTTATTGCATGTAGTGCTTTCTTTGGACCATCATCTCTCAATGAGGTGGAGCTACTGCCTTTGAAAGGCTATTTCCCTTCTAACTGGCCTATTAACAGTAAGTGTTACTATGCTCATCTTAATTCATATTTAAAAAGAATAATAGACATAGACAGGGCCCATTCTTACCATGGGCAAGAATGCTGTGTGTGGGATTGATTAAACCCAATAAAAAGTACCCACCTCTGGTTCCTACTATCATGTCCAATGTGTTCCTAAAAATTGAATATATAAATAATTTCTTACATCAAGTTCTAATTCTCTTGGTTTATTTGAAGATATATTCAATAAATGATTTATTTTTACATTGAGAAGGTCTTGGAGTATTTGCAAGGAGCTGAGCAGGAGGGTATAATTTTTTTGTATCTTATCATCTGTCTTGAGAAATTCCTGATAAGACAGGCTACCAGCTTTATTTTTCTTTTAATAAGGTAACCTTTAGTAAGCCTGAATTTCTGTCTAGTTTTATGAATCTGTAGACTTCTCTATACATTTCAATCTCTAGAACTATTTCTAAAGTTTGAATTTGGTCCATAACTGATTAAAGATACAGCATTTAATGACACATTTGTAGTGTTTCATATAGTTAATATTTGATCTTTTCTTTCAAAACTGAGTAAACCTGGACAACCAGCTTAAGTCCAGTAAGAGCCTAATTAAGTAAACATTTATCACTTGTCATATGGATATTTTCATATTTGTTGCAGTTGTTTTTCACCAGTATCAGCATTTTAGTTTTCTGTTTTCCATATGTTTCTATAAAATAATTGAGGAAGAAATGTAAGAAAGTATTTAAAAATTACACAAATAATACTGTATAGGACAAGTAGTGTTTTTTTTTTTGATTCAGAGTCTCACTCTATTGCCCGGGCTAGAGTGCCGTGGCATCAACCTAGCTCACAGCAACCTCAAACTCCTGGGCTCAAGAGATCCTTCTGCCTCAGCCTCCCGAGTAGCTGGGACTACAGGCACGCACCACCATGCCCAGCTAATTTTTTCTATATATTTTTAGTTGGCCAATTAATTTCTTTCTATTTTTAGTAGAGACGGGGTCTCACTCTTGCTCAGGTTGGTATCGACCTCCTGACCTTGAGCGATTCACCAGCCTCGGCCTCCCAGAGTGCTAGGATTATAGGCGTGAGCCACCATGCTCAGCCCCGACAAGCGACAAGCGGTGTGTTAATTAAAGGGAACTACTGGCTGTCAAGCAGTGCAACAATTTGCTAACCCCAAACAGGTATTCTTGTTCATTTGCTGATACATAGAAGTCCAAATATGATTTAAGTTATGCAATTTGTGGATATCCACATATAAGGGAATGAACAGATAGTATAGTAATTTAATGGATAAGAATTTGAGACCTCTGCATGTACTGAAGGGTTTATTTTATGTCATGTGGTTAATTCAATAGCTGAACTCTAAATTATGTGGACATTTAATGCAGAGTTTTTTAATGGTCCATTTTAGTTGCATCAAATGTTTATTTTCTGCATCCTTTCTACAGTAGTGGTCCATGCATTATTGGTTTGTAATGCTAGCACAGAGCTGACTACTTTGAAAAACATTCAGGACTACTTTAATCCAGCTACTCTACCTGTAGCACAGTACCTGTTAACAATGTAAGTCATTATTTACCTTTGAGTCATTGGTATTAAAAAATGATAACTAAAAATGAATATGAAAATGCAATAGAAGTATACTACATAAATGTTATAAATAAAATTTTAAGAATCTTTTAGTCTATGAAATTACTGTCAGTCAATAGTTAAAAAGAGAAAGGAATATGCATCATTTTTCATCTATTATGGTTTGAGCTAATAAATGTTACTACAAATTTTTTCCCTTTGTCAAGGGATAATGTCTTAAGGATTATTTGAGTGTTTATTTTTGATTCATCTGTATTTTATATTTTTAAACCAAATTATTTAACATTTAAAAGAATCATTTTACAGCTTAAATCCAGTGTGTATATTGATACTGATTTTATTCTTGACATCACTCACATGTCATTTTCAGTTTTTCAAGCACCAAGTCCCTTTTTTAAAAAATTGGAAGTGATGTTATGTTAATGCATTAAAGTAATAGAAAAAGCCAAATTTTCAATTTGGAATATTACTATCTGTAGTTTATTTTTCTCACCACAATAAAGTCCTAGGTAAAAAATGTGATTCTATTATGTTATTTATCCAATTTCAAATAAATTCAGTCTTTATAGAAATAGAAATAAAACCAATTCATGTAGTTTACTTGAAATAGAGGCTACATTAATTATCTAAGCCGGGTTTATATAGTGGAACATGGGCTTTAAGGTCAGTCCAACCACTTGTTAGTGGTGTGATTTTGGGGAAGAATATTTATATTTTTGTATCCCTATTTGGGATAATTAGCTAACTACTTCCTAGTGTTGTTGTGAAGATTTGATCAAGTAATATGCAAAATGCTTAAAATAGTGCCAGCACATAGTAAGTATTCAACAAAAGTTAGTTCTCTTCTATCCCTCCTCCAAATTGGGATATGTATCCATTTATGGTTAAAAAAAATGTTCTCTGTGATGCTTACAAAGTGATGGCTAAGTGATGAAGAGATCCACTCAGCTTTTTCAAAAGCCCCTAATTGTTTTTTATTTCGTTTGCTGCCTTTTTATTAGGTCTTCACCAAGTGTATTTAGCAACAAAAGAGTCAGTCAGAGGAAATTTATTCCACCAGCCTTCACAAATATCACCCCAAAATTTGAACTACTCAGCCTAGGGGCAACATTGCAGTTAGCTAGTGAGTTAATTCAGGAACATAAGTTAAACAAGGATCAAGCTACAGCTCTAATTCAGATAGCTCAAATGATGGCATCCCAGGAAAGTGCTGAAGAAGTGAAAGAACTGCAAATCCACACCCTCCCTATCACAATCATACACGGTAAGAAGCAAGAAAGAAAACAATTCTAATAAATATGTTATTAAATGCAAGCTTTTGTAACTCAGTCTGCTCCTTTATAATTTTCTATTCAAACAAGGTTGAAGAATAACTATAAGTAGATTTTTTAATTTTTATTTATTTATTTATTTTTACCTGAACTCACTTTGGTAAACTATTAGATGAGAGAGTACTGATCACCCTTTCTGGAAGAATTGGCAGCTTATCTGATACATGAGTAGTCTTATACACCTACAGTGTATCCAGATTTGATCTAGATGTTTACATGTTGCTGTGCTACAGTGGCCTTCAACTTTGATCAGCAGAACCTTTTATTAATTTCTAGTCAGCTTACTCTTCTATCCTTTACAGCAGCTATTCCAAACCTACATTCTTCTCATAACATCATCCTTTCCTTACTCTCTCTTGATCATGACTGTAAAACAGGAAAGGGAATTCATAACAAGAACTCCTTTTAATGTCCTGCCCTCCTTCTCCAATTTACCTATTAATAATTTTGGACCAATTCTTACCTGTTTTGGTTCTGTCCTAGTGAAGGGGCTTTACTTCTTCCTATTCAGAGTGAGTATTTCCATATAGGTTCTGTCTCCTCTATAGCACATTTCCTCTCATAGACCTCTACCCCAAAGCTTATCCTACTTATTTCTACTTTTTTTATTTTGAGGAATTACATTGGATCCACCCCGTTTACCAAATCAACACCTCTTTCTCTAGATTAAGTGACTCTCTCTTAATCCTCCTGTTTTCTTAGTGTTCATTCCCCCTCCCCCTGTCAGATCAGTCACTGAGATGTGTGCCTTCTATTCATAGCTTCTACTCATCTTTCATATTGATTATCTCTTCTCTAGTTTACTTTCGCCCTCCTCTACTCCCAATCCAAGCCTTCATCGTACCTCCATATAGCCTACTAGATAAGAGTCTGGGCTCTAGAGCTAGAATCCTGGATTTATATCCTGGCTCTGTCATTGTTAGCTATATGATCTTGGGCAGGTTACTTATCTCTTAGCTTTAATTTCCTGCTCTGTAAAATGGGGATCAAAATAGCATCTGCCTCTTAGGGTTAGAGGATTAAATGAGTTAACATAGGTAAAGGGCTTAGAACAGAGCTTGGCACACGGGAGACACTTAGTAAAGTTAGCGTGTTTTTTTGTGATTATGTCACACAGCTTTGTAAGTGATCGACCATTAGTTTTACCTTTCTCCAGAAGTTCACCCAAGTTGTTTTTCTAAAATACAGTCTGATTAAGTCAGCCCCACTGCTCAAAATTCTTCAACAACTTCCTTGGCCTTTAAGATAAAAATTAAACTTTTTTAGCTATAACAAGCTGAGCTTTTGTGGTTTACCCCTTCGCTTACCTCATCAGCTTTATCTTTTGCCTATTTGCCATAGGCTATATGAAATACTTAAAGTGAATTAATGTCTAATTGAAGTTAATCTCTATCACAAACCTTATTATCTCTATTCCTTTGTATTCAAAATGGATCTTTATAATGAAGCACTTTAGGTATATTAGAATACCAATATGATTTTTTTCAAATGATTGAATAAAGGTTCATTTGTCTTGAGTAACAAAAAAAAGAAATAGTTAAAGTTCTTTTAACAGCTACATGTTTTGTCATGCCTCTGCCTAGAATGACCCTTTCTCTAAGCAGTCTGGATATCTTATTCTGTAAAACTTATTTCTGCTACTTACTTTTAGGAAGCATTCCCACCCCTATCACAGCAGAGATAGATGTTTTTGTTTTTCTAATCCATAATAATGTTATTTACCATATTATTTTATCATTATTCCTTTACTTGTCATCTTAAGTAGACTGTGGTCTCATTAAAGATGGAGGTATTTTGGTTATTTATCTATTCATTCCTTGTTGCTTAGCACATAGTGAGTGCTCAATGTTTTTTTGAAGAAATTATTAATCAAATGAAGGAAAACGAGAGAAAGATGGATGAAATATTTCTTGTACTTTCAGAAATTTATTTGTGATGTTGCTTTTATTTTTTCTCCTTATTTTAAAATAATTAGGTGTTTTTGGAGCAGGGAAGAGTTATTTGCTGGCAGTGGTGATTTTGTTCTTTGTACAGCTATTTGAAAAGAATGCAGCTCCCACTATTGGAAATGCAAGGCCATGGAAACTTCTGATTTCTTCTTCCACTAATGTAGCTGTTGACAGAGTACTTCTTGGGTAGGTATGACAAGTGTATTGAAGTAGCTAATGCTTTAGGTTATTGTTGAAACAACATGGGCCCTACATGTTCATTCACAGTTTTGCAGGTATGCCAAGAACCAAGGCCTTTTTCTCAGACAGGAGTCAGAATCTATGAAACACTAACAGGCTAACTAATTAATTTGCAAGTAGGAGAAAATCAAATACCAAACCTGACAATTTTGGCACAGTAATATTAATGTAAAAATTAAAGTTCAGCCATGTATGTGTGGGTCTAGAGATATATTGTTGGAGGAGGCACTCTGCCCTTGGCCCTGAGTGTCCCTGCTGGGATGCCAAAGATGCAAGACCCAACCGCTCTTACCCAAGATACTTCTCAGGGTTGTGTTTGCAACAACCAACTGTGACTGATGAGGTAATGTCTCCCGCCAGGACAAAGCAGGCTTGCTTACTACTTGTTATACAAACAGTGGATCTTGAACTTCAGTGTTCCTGTCCTACCCCTCAGCCCATTGCATTTGCAGGCATCCACCTGGGAGCCGGGGAAACCGATGCAGATATGTTGATGCTCATGCTGCCCACTGTGGCATGAGTAAAAGTCCTTTGTCTGTGACTCAGCAGTCTTGAGTCCGTTATCTTAGAAGTCCGGTAAAATCGAATCCCAGAACCAATAGTTATAGATTAGTCTCTGTTGATCTGCCTGTGTGAACACATAGTAGTAATATAGCTGAACAATTTAAGTAAATTATATTTTTGATTTCAATAAAAGGGATCCGGATAAGGCAATAACAATCTGTTCTGCAGGTATAAAATTTTTGTGATTATATAAGACTTTATTAAAGATACAAAGAAAATATTATAATATTTTACCAATATTCCATTGTTTAATGATGTAAATTACAACATAAATGACAAAGTTTAATTAGGAGAAATAATTCATTACTTATCAGACTTTTTAAAAATTGACATTTATAATCATACAAGTTAATGCTTATGATAGAAAATATGCAGACTATACAGATATTTTATTGTATTTCTTTACAGATTTTTTAATATACATACATTTGGTTTTCCAAACTGAGATTCAACAGTATATATCGTTTTGTGTGTTGCTTTTTAAATTTAAAGTTTATTTCTCTAGAAAATAATTTTTCATAATTCTATTATATTCAATGATTTGATTATACCATACTTTTTTTTTTTTGAGGCAGACTCTGGCTCTGTTGCTCAGGCTAGAGTATCGTGGCATCAGCCTAGCTCACAGCAACCTCAAACTCCTGGGCTCAAGCAATTCTTCTGCCTCACCCTCCTGAGTAGCTGGGACTACAGCATGTGCTACCATGCCCGACTGATTTTTTTCTATACATATTTTTTTAGTTGTCTGGATAATTTCTTTCTATTTTTTAGTAGAGACAGGGTCTTGCTCTTGCTCAGGCTGGTGTCGAACTCCTGACCTTGAGCAATCCACCTGCCTCAGCCTCCCAGAGTGCTAGGATTACAGGCGTGAGCCCGGCCTGCTTATACCATACTTTAAGCAATTTTTGATCAGTAAGTTCTTCTCAAATTTTTGCCATTATAAATTATGTTATGACAAATATCCTTACTCATAAATCTTTGTCCCCATTTCTGATTCTTTCCTTTGGAAAAAGTCTGAAGCCTAGAATAAAAGATATAAACATTTTTAAGCTTTTAACGTACTTTGCAAAATTGCCCTTCAGAAAGGTTCTGCCAGTGTGCGTTCTTATGAGTAATTTGAAAGAATGGCTGAGGACAACACTTTTTGATTCAAGACAATAAGGAGTTACCTGGGGACTAAACAGGAAAGAACTTTAGATTACTTAGCCTGAGATGCAAATTTAACTGTTGATTGTTAGAAAATTAAAAAAAAAAATTCAAGAAGTTAGAATGAACAGGGAAAGTAAGTACTCAATAGTAGAAGTTAATAGGAAACCTTTGATAGAGATTCTTTAATGTTTAAACCTCTGATAAGGACCTGAGAAATATGAATCTGTAATTAGGATCTAAGCCTCGATTGCTTATAGTCACTCATACATTTCTTCACACTGAAAAAACATTTTCATTGTGCACTTGAACAGACCTGTATTCCTATTGGAATGGACAGGACAGAATAGTTTCTTGAGAAGCAATGAAAGTGTGGGCAAATAGCAGTACTATGAGGATACTGCACCCTTTATTATTATAGATTTAACACAAACTTGCACTGAAAAAAATCTAGTATTTCGGACTATAAAGTAGCTGACTATTCTCCAAGATAAAGCCTGTGAAAAATGTAAAAATTGAAATCTATTCATGCACTGACACTAAATAAATTATTTTATAAATATTTTGGAAAATTATGTTTGGAGAGCTGTAGTTTAGTTCTCTAGCTCTTTAAATTCCCATTTTGAGGTGGTAGAAGATGTTTTGGAGGATTGGGTATTCATTGAGCTTCAACTCTGTTCCTAGCATAGAGCTAAAGCTGTAAGATATGTAAGAGGGAAGGGTAGCTGAAGGGGTCTTCTTCAAAAAGCCCAAACTGGGGGTAACGAGGGAGAGGAATAGTCACAGCCTTTGCATGTAGACAGACTTGCCTGGGCTTGAATTGTGGCTGATTCCACTCATTAGCTCTGTTGCCTCAGCAAAGTTATCCCACCTCTGATATCTCCTTTCTAAGAGGGGATATCATGCAGAGCCATAATAAGTAGTAAACAAGGTAAAAAATGTAAAGAGGCTCTTCCTAACAAATCTCGATGCTAAATATATGGTAGCTATTGCTTTCCATATTATTATGTCTTTAGAGGCAATTTTAGTTGTGATAAATACTAACATTGGTATGTTACGAACATTTAATGAGCCTTCAACATAAAATAATACATATTTTTAAATTCTCTAGAAAATGTATCATATATAAAAAACATCTTCAACTACATTGTATTTCCTTTGTTTGAGTTTAGGCATTTCCCATTAAATTATGTTAACTAAAACATACTATTATACAAAGTTAATTTTAATAACAAATATGTGAAACTTTGTTTTATAGTCTATTTTTTAAATAATCAGAATCTATTTTATATTGTTTTCTTTAAAGGCTTCTCAGTCTAGGATTTGAAAAATTTGTCAGAGTTGGGAGTATTAGGAAGATTGCCAAGCCAATTTTACCGTACAGGTAAGAATGCTTCATTCTGAAAGTCACAGAATGTTCAAAGAGAAGTATGGCAATTTTATATAACTTTTACCTTAAATTTGGTTTTTGAAGAAGAACAAAGAAAGCCTTATCTTTTTCTTAGAAAATCTGTATTTTGATTTTTTGTGTTCTTAAAAATGGAAAAAAGGGGTTTTTAAAATGTAGCTCTTTCTTTAGCTTACATGCCGGCTCAGAGAATGAAAATGAACAACTAAAAGAACTGCATGCACTAATGAGAGAAGACCTGACTCCTGTGGAAAGAATGTATGTGAGAAAAAGTATTGAGCAGCATAAACTGGGAACCAACAGAACCCTGCTGAAGCAGGTGAGAGGAAGTAGCTTCAGTCTGTCACTTTATATACAATATTCAGATTCTCTTATTCCTGTCAATGGAAGAACATTTCCTTTGCATAAAACAAACTGCTGTGATAGTTTAGACTCAACTAAGGTCTGTGCATGTGGATCCCTTGGATTTAGTCTGCCTGTGTACATTTTATGCTTGTTTCAAAGCACTCTTCAAATCTGTGATCAGATCCAACTCACCAGGACTTAGTCATCCTTTCTCCTCCCTATTTGCATATCTTTTTATAGGTTTGAAGAGGAAAATATAGAGGTGGGAATAAATTCTTGGCAAGTTAAATGAAATTGATTATATTCTTGGAGAAATAGAGAAGAGAAGGTCTCACCTGGGCAAAATATCCAAGGGAAATTTGTCTTTAACTCTCCGAGAAAGCCAACTCTTTCAGGGTCTGCCTAAATGCAAGAATGCAGGAGACACTAGCTTCCAGGTGTTGGGAGCCAAGACTGAGCACACAGGATCTCAGGCCATAACAAGTAGCATCATCCCCTTTGTCAAGTGTTTATCCAGGGCAGCCTGGGCATCAGCTGGTAGAGAAGAATGAAGTCAATCAGGGCCTTCCTTCTATGAAAGGAGTGCATGGGGAAAAGAAGGGGGATAGAGGAAAAGAGTTGTTAACTTCTTGGTCCACTTGGACATTGGTCACTTTCTGTAAGAGATTTGGGAATATCCACCTGCTTGGAACTCTGTATTGGTCAGCTATTGCTGAAATAATACAGCTTAACAAACAAAATCTCCATACTTTAAGATAACAACTTAGGACTCAACTAGCATGGCTTGGCTTGAGACTATGGGTCAAGTCTCTCATTCTGAGAACAGTTGCTGTGGCAGGATGATCTTCTCCTGACAGATGCCGGAAGTGCAAGAAGGCAGGCCAGATCACACAAATACATTCAAAGCTTCTGTTCGTACCATGTCTGCTAACATTCCATTTGCTGGAACAGGTCTCATGGCCAACCCTGACATCAGTGAGGCAGGGAAATTTACTCTACCTGCTTCTCTGGTGGGAAACACTGCCATGTAACACAGCAACGGGTGTGGATGCATAATGATACTCTCCCAGGGAGGGAAGGAGAAATTGGAAATAATAACCAATCGACAACAAGTTTTGGTTCTAGAAGTCCTCAGAGGACTTCAGACCAACTTTCTAGTATCTGAATTATAGAGTTAACTCTGTAATCTGTTCTTAACCAAATCCAGAAAGGCTTAGTCTGTGTTCAATTCATGCAAATTAGTCATTTATATAAACTTACCATTTAATTACCCAGCATATTAATGATATATAAGAATTAACTGTTAATGATTTCTTTAATCATTTTCCTTAATAAAAGCCCAGTTACCATTATCTGTTACTTATTGATATCACCTATTCACAAATGAAAACTACTTTAACAGAATTATTTTTTTCAAAGTTTTCTCTAACATATTTCTAAGGTCCAGTCAGACATTCAGACCTGACATGTTCCTAAAGTGACATGTCTTTACAATAAACTATTAATAATTTTTTTAAATTGCTTCATAGTAATTACTATTTCCTAGGTTAATAAAAAATCTTTTTACTGTTAGAATTTTGGCAATATAATAATAAATTAAAAGATAATATAATTTTTTAAAGAGAAAACTTAGTACCTTGGGTTTTTATATTAGATATTTCTTTAAATTAGAAAAATGCTTCCTGGGCCGGGCGCTGTGGCTCACGCCTGTAATCCTAGCTCTTGGGAGGCCGAGGCGGGCGGATTGCTCAAGGTCAGGAGTTCAAAACCAGCCTGAGCAAGAGCGAGACCCCGTCTCTACTATATTTAGCTTTTTTATTTTATTTTTTTTATTTTTTTTCTTTTTCGATATTGAGTCCTTGACACTGACGTCTCTACTATAAATAGAAAGAAATTAATTGGCCAACTGATATATATATAAAAAATTAGCCGGGCATGGTGGCGCATGCCTGTAGTCCCAGCTACCTGGGAGGCTGAGGCAGTAGGATCACTCGAGCCCAGGAGTTTGAGGTTGCTGTGAGCTAGGCTGACGCCACGGCACTCACTCTAGCCTGGACAACAAAGCGAGACTCTGTCTCAAAAAGAAAAAAAAGAAAAATGCTTCCTGATTCGTAACATTAGAGTTGTCATTCTGTGGTTGTTTTTGTCAGATAAAGTTACCAGAAATTAGATAATGAATGATATTTCAGAATGGTACCATGTCTTGATCATTTTTAAGGAACTGAATGTTTAAATATTGTAAAATTTCTCATATAAAATGTGACTGTAGGATTTTTGTTTTTAACAAAAAAAAAACAAACCCTAACTAATACAGGGCTGTTGTATATGATGAATGTTATTTATTATTAAAGAAAATAAGGTGTTTATAATTTTATTTCACAGGATCAATAGAGGCGATATTTAATTTGTAGAGCATATTTTTGTCAATTTGTTGAAAAAAGATATAATCAGTTTATATGGGCTGCCCTTGCTATCAAGCAATGTTAAGATTTTTAGAAGAGAACAAGTACAGTCATGTGTCACTTAATGACAGAATACTTTCTGAGAAATGCATTGTTAGGCAATTTCATTGTTGCATGAACATTATAGGGTGTACTTACATACACCTAGATAATACACCCTACCACACATCTAGCCTACAAGGTATAAAGCCTGTTGCTCCTAGGCTACAAATCAGTATAGCATGTTACCGTATATGTTCGTGTACATATATACACATAAATACACGTGTGTGTGTGTGTGCGTGTGTGCACTGGCACACATGTATATAACTAGTGGGCTACTAGGCCAAAATGACCACATCCAGTTAGAAAAGTCATAGGCTGGGCATGTTGGTGCACACCTATAATCCCAGAGGCCAAGTCGGGAGGATTGCTTTGAAACTAGCCTGAGCAACATAGCAAGACCCCATCTCTACCAAAAACAAATAGAAGAGTTAGCAAGTGTTTTGGTGCGCACCTGTAGTCCCAGCTACTGGGGGGGGGGGGTTTGAGGTGGAAGGATGGCTCGAGCCCAGGAGTTTGAGGCTGCAATGAGCTATGATCAGACCACTGCACTCCAGCCTGGCATTCTGGCATAATATTTAACTTGTAAAATTCAAATATACTTATAGGCTACAGGTACACTTTCATTTACTGTTCAGCATTAGCCATCTTTACCTTCTTAAATAAATAAAAAAACCAGTGTCCTCAAAGGTTAAGAAAGGATAGTTTATTAGCATATTCAATGTAATCTTTGTGGAGAACTTTGGCCTGTGTTTATACGATGCATGTTATCCTTAGTTAACCTCATTTAGAAGATAGAATATGAGTCTCATCCTTGGTTTTGAAAAATTCTTGATATTGCAGTACCTTCCTTCTGAATATCAAACTGTGCCTCTCTTATTTATTCTTAATGGGCTTGTGTCTTAAGTAGCCTGTAATTCGGTGATTTCTATTTTGTATTATATGTAGAAATAACAAAAAGAGAGAGATAACATGGACATAAAGTGACCTGTGATTTTCAATTGCCAGGAATTAAATTAGGACTAGCTGGCTTTCTGACTTTAGCCTACAAGTTCTTTGGTAAAAACGTTCTCTTATTTTCTATTAATAGTTGTTAATTTATAACACTTTTGTTGCAATAAAGGTTCGAGTAGTTGGAGTTACCTGTGCAGCCTGCCCGTTCTCATGCATGAATGATCTTAAATTTCCTGTAGTTGTGTTGGATGAGTGTAGTCAAATAACCGAACCGGCCTCTCTCCTTCCCATCGCAAGGTAATCTAACAGATTCTTTTCCCGAGAGCACTCAGATGTCAGTTATTTCAAACATTTCCTCTGTTCAGACCCTTCCAAACTTTTGTGAAAATTCTTATTAATTCAAGTAGTAAACTTATTTTTAAAAAGTATACAGAGGAGGCTGGGCGCGGTGGCTCACACCTGTAATCCTAGCACTCTGGGAGGCTGAGGTGGGCGGATTGCTCGAGGTCAGGAGTTCGAAACCAGCCTGAGCAAGAGTGAGACCCCGTCTCTACTATAAATGGAAAGAAATTAATTGGCCAACTAAAAATATATACAAAAATTAGCCGGGCATGGTGGTGCATGCCTGTAGTCTCAGCTACTCGGGAGGCTGAGGCAGGAGGATCGCTTGAGCCCAGGAGTTTGAGGTTGCTGTGAGCTAGGCTGACGCCACGGCACTCACTCTAGCCTGGGCAACAAAGTGAGACTCTGTCTCAAAAGAAAAAAAAAGTATACAGAGGGAAATTTGGGGGGGGGTTAATGTATCAAAATTTTGTTAGGTCACAGTTTAGGCATCTGGATGATATAATCCTTAAAGCATTGATAGCTCTAGTGCTAGGATTCTACTAGAACCTTGCAAGTTTCTCAACTAGATTAAAGGTTGCTCTTTGATTATAATTTGAGAACCTAACTTCCCTGAAGAATGTCCTTCAGTTTCCTTACCTTGATATAATTCATGTTTAGGTTTTGAAAACAATTTTTAGATTATGAAAGGATGTAAAGTATATAAAGAAAAACAAGTTGAAAATAAAAACTTGTCTCCTAAAATTAAAAGACCATGAAGTCTTATAAGCTGTCCCAGACAATTGAAACCTTGTGCTTTTAAAGCATCTTTTATTGGGGTGTCCTAAAGGTAGTGGAAAGAGTACTAGACTAGGACTCAATAGGCCTGAGTTCTAATCTTATGCAGTTTGAGGAAACAGGACACCAACTGTCATGGTTTGCATGAGACTTTGGAAGATTCCTGGATCGTGGGGCTTTCAGTTTTTAGGATGAGTTTATCACTCTACTCAGGAGCCAGGGGTGGAAGAGCAGCAAAGGGTAGAGGAGTAATACTTGTTGAGCACCCACTGTGTACTAAAAACATTACATATTTCATTTAATTCTTATCACAGCTATGCAAGGTATAATTACCTCCAGGTTACTAAGAATACCGAAATATGGAGAGACTACATAACTTGTTGTGTCCATAAATTATAATAGAGTTGAAATTTAGATACAGGTTTGTCTATAAAACTTGGACTTAACCCGAGAGCCTAATTTACTTCACCTTTAAAAGTAGGGTTTAAGTCAAATGATTTCTATGCAAGCCTATAATTCTGAGAGTTTATGGATTCTAAAAATCAGTATGTCTCAGATATGTGACATACATGGGAGTTCTGTGAAATATGAATTCCATACAGAGGCAAGGGACACTTAATAGGCTTTCTATGGAAAAAAATTAAGTTATGTAAACTTTTCAAAGCTGTTAATATACTTACTGGCATTATTGAGCCTTGTTAGTTCTCAGGATATTTCATGGGATTTGAATTTTTAGATATATTTTTAAAACTGCAATAAATGATGTTAATGCACCCTTTTTCATTGCTTAGATTAATTTTTCAAAATCTGTTTTTAGGTTTGAGTGTGAAAAGCTGATTCTTGTTGGGGACCCCAAACAGCTGCCTCCTACTATTCAGGGTTCTGATGCAGCTCATGAAAATGGATTGGAACAAACTCTCTTTGATCGACTTTGCTTAATGGTACATACTGCCGAATTATCATTTATTTATGATATACTGTGTGTGCAGGTTGATAGGAGAATGAGAATATTAGATGTTCTAGTCCCTGCCTTAAGATAATGTATACTTAGAATTGTTTAGAAAGTACTCATCTTAAAGGTAAGTAGAACCCTATAATTTAAGTGCCCCTTTATGAAAAGAATCTCTACCCTTATGTACGTTAGTAGAGCACTTAGCATTTAACATGAAAAAAAATTATTAATATGTTTTTAATTTGAGGTAGAATTCACTGTCTTAGTCTGTTTTGTGATACTATAACAAACTACTCTAGACTAGGTAATTTATAAAGAATAGAGATTTATTTCTTACAGTTCTGGCGGCTGGGAAGTATAAGATCATAGGGGCCCACATCTGGCCAGGGCCTTGGTGCTTAGCAATCCTGTGGTGGAAGGTGAAAGAGCGAGAGAATGGAGAGAGAGTGTGAGGGGGGAGGTGAAGAGGGCCAGACTGATCCTTTTATGAGAATAGCATTAATCCATTCATGAGGGCAGAATCCTTGTGGCCTAATCACCTCTTAAAGGTCTCACCTCTCAACACTGTTGCACAGAGGATTAAGTTTTCAACACAAGAGCTTTGGGGGACACATTCACACCATAGCATTCCCCTAACATCAAACTAACCATTTTAAAGTGAAGAATTCAGTGACATTGAGTATATTTACAATGCTTTGCAACCACCATCTCTATCTAGTTCCAAAACATTTTCATCCCCCAAATAAAACCCCATACCCATTTAGCAATTACTGCCTATCACCTCTCCCTCCAGCTTCTGGCAACTACCAGTCTGCTTCTTGTCTGTATGGATTTATTTATTCTGGATACTTCATATAAATGGAATCATACAATATGTGAGTGTTTTTGTGTCTGGCTTTTTTCACTTAGCATGACGTTTTTGAGGTCCATCCACATTGGAGCATGTACTATCTTATCAAGTACATTCATAATGTTATACAACCATCACTTATCGATTTCCAGAACTTTTTCATCATCTCAAATAGAAACTTTGTACCCAGTAAACAATAATTTCCTATTTCTCCTTCTCTCAGCTCCTGATAAACTCTATTCTACTTTCTGTCTCTAAGAATTTGCCTATGTTAGGCACCTCATATGAGTGGAATCATATGGTTTTTGTCATTTTATGTCTTATCTTATTTACTTAGCATAATGGCTTCAAAGTTCACCCACGTTGTAGCATATATATCAGAATTTTGTCCCTTTTTAAGGCTGAGTAATGTTTCACTGCATGTGTATAATACATTTTGTTGATGGATATGTGTGTTGTTTCCACCTTTTGGCCATTGTGAATAATCTGCTATGAACATTGATGTACAAATATTTATTCGAATCTATTTATTGTTTGCATAATTCCTGTACTTGTTTTATTTTCTGATGTTTTTGCTTGGGCAACTCTCTCAGATTTATATTCCGTATTCTATTTTCTCAGTTCCTTGAAAATATGGTGGTTGCAGGAGTAGGGGGGAGGAGATAGAAATGGGGTTGGTATAGACCTAGGTTAAGAATGTGTGCCATTTTTCTTAGCTATTGTGGGCACTTTGTCTTCTAAGGTTTTGTTAAATACACTGTACCAGGATTCACTCCCCATGGGTGGAGATGTTGCCCCTTTCCCAGAGCAGGGATACTCCTGGGCCTCAGGTGTTCTGTCAGTTTGATATATGGTTCACTTCCAGTAAAAACTTCCCAGTTCACTTCTCCTGTTTCATTATTCTTCTTCGGAGCCATTGCCATTATATGACTTCTGGAGAAATGAGGAATCCCACTATGTTGCATTTCTCCCTTCCACCCCAGAATCTTGTTTCTTTCCTGATGACAAGCACTTTTTAAACTTTATGGCATTGAGTTGTCTGTAAACCTTTCTTTGTTGTATAACTGCTGAGTTTTTTCCTTCACCGTTGTTTTCAGGGTTTTTTTTTTTTTTGTACCTTTCAATATTAGAAAATGGATTCTACAAAGCAATTTTATTCTACTTTCTTAATTCAGAAGTTCTCTCTTACATTGAGTTTCAAGTTACACTGAGTTTTAAGTTCGGATGTAGTCAGTTTTGTGAAGAACCAAGCCTTCAGTTATGTTGAGCTTTTAATTATAATTGAATTGAATTGTAAAACTTTCTACCCCTTCCACAACAAGTCAGTGTCCAACCTCTTTTGAATCAGACCTTTTCAATGACTTTTTAAAAAAAAATCTTAATTTTTAAAAAGTACTTAAATTCTTACAACAGGTAATAAATAGGTAATAGTAATAGGTATTAGTCACATGATTCAGAATTCAAGAGGAATCAAAAAGCATGGAGACAGTGAAGACTTTTACTCCTGTCCTTCAACCACTCAGTTCCTGTCATTGGAAACAACTGTCATCCCTTTCTTGTGTCTTTTCAGTCATATGCCAATGTAAGCAAAAATGTAAAATATTTCTCCATTTTAATGAAGTTAATGCGCCATGCATACTTTTCTGCCCTTTACCTTTTCACTTATTCATTGTCAATGCCTTTTAAAATATGAAATAGGTTTTTATCTGGGGGAGTTCTAAAAGCACAAATAAAGGATAGATTAAAAAGTGATTTCGTCACAGAGTGGAATAATATAAAACAGTTACGATGAATGAACTCGATCCATATAGATAGTTCTTAAAAACATAGTGGATATTGAAAGAAGCAAAGTACAAAGGAATACTTACAGTAAAGTGCCATTTATGAGAATTTCAAAAGTACATGAGATGATATATATTATTTATAGATACCATGTTTCCCCTAAAATAAGACAGGGTCTTTATTTTTCCTCAAGAAGACACCCTAGGGCTTATTTTCAGGGGATGTGTTATTTTTTTTTAAATATGGGACAACAATCTACATTTATTCAAATATAGTTAAGTCGTCTTCTTCTGGAACATCATCATAACTCGCCAAACCCCGAATTCCATCCTGAATTTCTCGCAATTCTATTTCCTTTAGGACCATTGGCCCCGATCTCTCATGTCGAGCCATAGAACTCTCATGGGGCAGATGAGAAGGGCTGCTCATCTTCTTTACCACTCTGCGACAAAATGCATGGGTTGTGCAAATATACCCATCAGTAGGTCTTATTTTCGGGGTAGGGCTTGTGCAAATGCTTGGAAATCCTGCTAGGGCGTATTTTATGGGTAGGTCTTATTTTCGGGGAAACACAGTATATAGCAATGTAATGAATATATATAAACATGCAGGGGAATGCCACAAAACAAATTCAGGATTGGGGTTATTTCTGGGGACAGTGGTAGAGGTAAAGCAATGAGGGAGGCTTTTTAACTATATATGTCATATTTGATTTACAAGAGAGTTCTGCAGCAAATATGACCAGATGTTAGTGTCAAATTTGGATAGTAGGTATATGGATGTCATATTCTTTTCTTTTCTTTTTATATATTTGAACTAATTCATAATTAATTCAAAGTAAAAGAAATAAAAGTAATGTCTACTACTCATTATAGAAAGTGTGGAAACTACAGAAAAGAAAAAAGGTAAAGCGGGCCCAGTGATGACGTGCCTGTAGTCCTGGCTACAGTCCAGGAGGCTGAGAGGGGAGGATCGCTTGAGCCTAGGAGTTCCGAGCCAGCCTGGGCAACAGAGTGAGACCTTGTCTCTAAAAAACAAAACAAAAGAAAAGAAAAGAGATAAAAATAAAACATCTACAATAACCTCACTGCCCTTAAGAGAAGACCCTTTATAATATTTTAGTATTTTTTTCCCCACCTTTTATCTTAGGGCTATATATATAACAAATATATGTTTTGTTTTATTTTTTGAGACAGAGTCTCGCTTTGTTGTCCAGGCTAGAGTGAATGCCATAGTGTCAGCCTAGCTCACAGCAACCTCAAACTCCTAGGCTCTAGCAATCCTACTGCCTCAGCCTCCCAAGTAGCTGGGACTACATGCATGTGCCACCATGCCCAGCTAATTTTTTCTATATATTTTTAGTTGGCCAATTCATTTCTTTGTATTTATAGTAGACACGGTCTCGCTCTTGCTCAGGCTGGTTTCAAACTCCTGACCTTGAGCAATCCACCCGTCTCCGCCTCCCAGAGTGCTCACAGGAGTGAGCCACCATGCCCTGCCATATATAACAAATATATGTATTTTTATATAGCTGAAACCATACCATACATATAATTTCTATCCTGCCTTTTTTTAACTTTGCATAACAGCAAATCATCTCCTCTTGTTATTTTTTGTTAATTATGTTTTGTAATCATCATTATTGTCATAAATGTTTAACCACTAAATATAATATTGTGTGGATATACCATATCCTAGTCATTTCTCTAACATTAAATATTTAGTTGTTTCCAGTTATAAGTAATGATCCCTTGAGCATTTTTTTCTTTCAGCATTTTTATACTTGACACATTTTGTCAGAGGTTTCACAGAAGCCAACTGACTTCTTAGACTTATATATAAACTTAGACAAATTTATGTCCCAAAGAGTACTCAGATTGATTATTTTTCTTACATTTTTTTTCCTCATAGAAGATTCTTTGTCCATGAGATTGTTAATCCTGCATTTAATTGCATATGTATTATTATGGGAGTACCTTGTAGCTATTCGAAGTGTCCTAACAATACCACAGAACTTTCGACAAAGAACGTGTTCCAGAAGAGCCATACAGTAGATGGGATTTGGATTTTATATGTTAACAAAATCTGAAATTTCTTTGAAGATTCAGAATGAAAAATCACTTTTACTCAGGAGGAAAATTAATACATGAATTATCAACAATACTTTCTAATTTTTAAAAATATTTCTTTTAAATTTAGTGGTAGGCCAAGTCCAGATAGATTATGAAAGCTTATAGTCTATTCTGTCATGGTTGTAATTCATCACCTAAGCCTGCAATATAGCAATATTTTTCTTAGAGACAAAAAAGTTAGGTTTTAATTTCTTTTCTGCATTTAAATTTCTCAGGGTCACAAGCCAATTCTCTTGCGAACTCAATACCGTTGTCACCCTGTAATCAGTGCTATCGCTAATGATCTGTTTTATGACGGAAACCTCATGAATGGCATTTCAGAAACAGAGAGAAGCCCTTTATTGGAATGGCTTCCAACCCTGTGTTTTTATAATGTTAAAGGACTAGAGCAGGTAAATGACATTAACATTGATGGGAGTCAACATGGTTTAGTTTCCTGGTTTAATTTTATTGTTGTTGGTATGATTTTACTTGGGCTTTCCATAGCCTTTCTGGGAAATGTAATTTAGGATCTGTTTCCTATTCCAGATTGAAAGAGATAACAGCTTTCATAATATGGCAGAAGCTGCGTTTACACTCAAGCTGATTCAATCACTGATTGCAAGTGGAATAGCAGGCTCTATGATTGGGGTGATAACATTATACAAATCCCAGATGTATAAGGTTTGTATTACATATTACAGTATTTGTCATATATTAAGTATTGCAATTATATATTATAACATTTGATATTACATTTGGAGCAGTTTGGTGCTCAAAAAACTTTTGGTACTGTAATGAATGTATCAAAAAAGAAACATTCTGATGTGTTTATGGTCTGGCTTTTTTTCTGTATAATTAAATGTAAACCTAACAAGGTTTAATTAAATTTAGTTTACAGCTGTTGGAACAAAAATGCAAATAAACAAATTAGAGGGAAGAAAATATGGTGTATGCTTTGTGTTTTGGGACAGATGGGATTGAATCTCTTGTTTTCCAAAATGTTCTTTCATTATTATTACAGTTTATCAGGAAATCAAGGATAGATAACCAGGTATTAATGTACATGTGGGCCAGTTACTTCTAACTAGATTTTTCTTTTTTCTTTTACTGTCTTTTGTCAATTTCATCATTAGTTTATTTATCACCTTCAAATTAGCATTTCCAAATAAATTCCCAGCAGCAGATAAACCATCGCTTATTTTTTGCAAATAATATGTTTTACATTTCAAAATATTAAGGGGGTACAAATGTTTTTGTTGCATGGATACCTTTTATAATGCTTAAGTCATGGCTTTTAATGTATCATCTGAATAGTGTTCATAGTACTTGGTAGGTAAGTTTTTACCTTTCCCTGCTTCTTGATTTCCAACAAACTTTACATCTCTTTTTGCATGGGTGTGCCTGTCAATTAGCTCCCAATTATTAGAGAGTGATTGACACATCACTTTTGATTTCACTTCATAATTCATATTGTCATCTAATCATTTATCATTTTATAAACTAGCTAAATCTATGTGAGTTATGGAAGAGAATGAAAATCATCCAATATTAGTTAAATTAAAATGAGCAAGTTGAGAGGCTTAAGTTCTTCCTGGTCTGTGTATCGCACAACCTCTGTCTTCTTCCCTCCACAGCTTTGTCATCTGCTCAGTGCCGTGGACTTTGACCAGCCTAATATGAAAACTGTGCAGGTGTCCACAGTAGATGCTTTTCAGGGAGCTGAAAAGGAGATCATCATTCTGTCCTGCGTAAGGACAAGACAAGTAGGATTCATTGATTCAGAAAAAAGAATGAATGTCGCATTGACCAGAGGAAAGAGGCATTTGCTGATTGTGGGAAATTTAGCCTGTTTGAGGAAAAATCGACTATGGGGGCGTGTGATCCAACACTGTGAAGGTAAAATACAAATGTGTTTAATTCAAGCATTTTGAATTAACACTGACTTTTATGTCTTAATATTGGGGTGGTTCATGCAGGAACAGCTCTGAATTTGCCACTGTGGGAGGTGACAGACAATAATGCAGGGAGCACTATAAAATAAAGAATAGTTGTCTCATGTTTTATATCTTTTTAAGGAAGGGAAGACGGATTGCAACATGCAAGCCAGTGTGAACCACAGCTGAGCCGTCTCCTTAAAGATTATTTTGAAAAACAAGCAGAAGAAAAACGGAAGAAAAAGAATGAAAAAGAGAAAATCTAAAGATAAATCTCATTAACAAAAAGACATGGTATAGATATTTTATATTTAAGTAAATTCAGATTTCATTTTACACTACATATTAATTTTTAAAATATTTTTATTACTCTAAAACCCTTTTTATAAAAATACTTTATCTCTAATAAAAATAATTTTTTTTTCTAAAAAGTGTATTTTCTGTTTGCTAAAGAAATGAATTTCACAAGGTGCAGGTGAAGGGGAATACCAGTGTACCTCAATAAGTGACTACAGAAGCTCATCTGTTAGATCACATCTGCACGGTCAGATATGCCAACACTCCTTTCTGAGCACTGGCTACCAGAATCTTTTAAAAATAAATAAAATGCTTCACTATTTTATAAATAAAAACATATTCACAACAAAGCTTTTGAGAAGTATGAAAGAGAAGAAAGAGAAAACACTAAAAGTTTACAACTGGAAATAGCAGTGCTCAACACCTTGCCCTGGGCAGTGGCTGGCACCATGTCTGGTATAGTAGGTTCTCAATAAATATCCACTGGATGAACGGACAGATGAATGAAAGACTAGCTTTGGTTCATTTCCTTCTAGCCTTTTTCCTGGGCATTTATTTGCACAGTAGTTATTGATATATGTAATATGTATGGATTAAAACTTTTTCCTTTTAAAATAATATATTCTCCTTATAGAAAATTGCAAAATATAAGAAAGTATACAAAGGAAAATAAAAATCACATAGAATCCACTACCAAGAGATAATCATTAACATGTGCTTATATTCTGTCTGTTTATATGTAGATAAGTTTTAAACCATTTGAGTCCATACTAATTCTTAGACATTATTAACAAAAGAACGTTCTTCCATAGATGGAAGAATGACAAGGGTTTAATTATAATTAATATCAATGAACTATTTTTACCAACTTAAACTTAGTGACACAAGTCACTCAATATTCATTTTAAAGATGCAGAAAATTGCTACTTGAATTACTTCACAATAAAAAATGACCAGTCAGCCTCTATGGAGTTCTTTTATGTAAGGGAGAAAAATAAATTCAACAACCAAACTTGCGGTTAAGTAATTCTCCCAGCCATTTCTCAAATGTATTACTGATTGCAGCAATAGTTGTTCTTTTAAGTGTTCATCCAAACTAAAGTGAAAAATATGACTCCCAACAGTTCCTTACAATCGGTAAGGAATAGTTGAAGGAAGTATTATAGAGCCATACTTTACCCATGAACTGTACAATCTGACTGACAACATATATTTAAACTGGATTCCTGAGTTTTGCAGCCCAAACTCCCCATTTTTTTATTTCTTAATTTTGATTAAGAAAAATTGGCCAGCTGGAGCTAGCTCTCAAATAATTTTGTTTTCCCAAGAAGAGTATATGGATGATATATCCATTGAGCCTTTGTATAATCTGAAGATATGTTTCGGTTACATATACATATGAGAACTATGCAGACACTATGGAAATTGCCCTTGGCCTCACTTACTGTTCATTTGGGTGATAGTTGCATTTCCATCTCAGATCTATAACTAGATGGCCGACTGACTTTGCGCAGTTCTTAGTCTAACTTCTACTAGCTTTGATCTAGAACTGTTCAAAGACTCACACAATCTACACTTGGGCCTGTGCTATCATTAGTTCCTCCCTAACCTCTGCCTCTCATGTTGTCAGTTTTCCAGAAATTTCAAGTTCTGCAACAAGGATTTCTCAACTTCGGCACTCTTGACAGTTTGGACCAGATAACTCTTTGTTATGGGGGTGCTGTCCTGCGCCTTGGAGGATGTTTAGCAGCATCCCTGGCCTCTGCCCACTAGATGCCAGCAGCACCTTATTCCAAGTTGTGACAACTAAAAATGTCTCCAGACTGCCAAATGTCCTGGTGTAAAGGTGGACCCAGCATTCCAGGTATCTCAAAGCGGCAACTCCACTCAGAAGTAAGACTGCCTGTATTTTTTTTGTTTGGTATAAATCCTGCATTTTTGATCCAGGCAACAGTTAATAACGGAGAGCAAAGGTTCTTTTTATTTTTAGGTGGGCAGGCCTCCTCTGTTTCTAATGGCATTGTACAGCTTGTCCACCATTATGTTTTCAGTCTAATTCCAATATCCTGGCAGTTTATAACTATCATGACTTTTTTTCTTTTTCTAATTTATAGGATATCATAATTAATGGAAAGCTAAAACCCAATGAATAGGAAATAACACTGGTCTTGCAGAATTGTTTCTGGGCCAGCCCATTCTTCCTAGCCCACCTGCGTTCACTATGTTAAGCACTCTTTTACGCCAGGCAGTTTAGCAAAGAAAAAGGAATAGTGGTGTGGAGGATAAAAGGGAAAATGTGGAAATGGCTTAGTCTCTTTCTTTGCTTCTCTCATCCCTTAGCCTAGGATGGAAATTCCCACTTCAGGTTTTCTTTCCCTCCAGGTGGACCCACGCAAAACAGTGGATATGGTATTAGTGGTTTTGTCTCTAGTTTTAATCTTTCTCATCCTGGGCTGGGTCACAGAGTGTCATGCCAGGTACAATGTCAGCTGCAACAGGCCTGGTTTATATCTAGGGGTCAGATCTTACACGGTGCTCCTGCCCTGGCCCCTGTCCATCAGAGCACAATCAGTCTTCACGCTCATCTACTTTATCTTTCTTCAAGAGATTAATAAATGAGAACATTCTTCTGATTAGGCGGTGTTGACCATTGTAGAGTTGTGTTTGGTTTATCATTTATTTTGAGCAAAAACATATTATCTGACCCCTGAATATTAATATAGACTTTATATTTTAAGAAGAAAAAGACCATATTTGAAATAAAGAAATTCCTCAAACCCAGGCTAACATATTCTTTATCTTTTTCATCTCAAATTCCAAGGTTGGATAGACATAAATTGAACTTTAAGTAGTATCCCATTCAATAAATAATCAAAATATTAATATTTCTCATGATTATATAATATACTCAAAGTAATAAGCCAGTTTTATAAGTACAGTCATCTATAGATAATAATCTTAAAACAATGTCTCCCAACTTGTGTTCAATAAATGATAGGATTGTATGATGATGTTCTCAAGGTTTTTATTCATAGAATGAGTCTATTAGTTTATGCAGCACATATTAAAATAGAATGAAATTTCTAGTCTTTAATCCACTCATCATTTATATAGTTTGTGTATTGGGTTTTTTTTCCAAAATTCTTTCATAAACATCACATTGACCCAGTGGGGGAACAGGTATTTTCCCCATCCTATAAACAATTAAGCCAAAGATCAGAGAAAGTGAAGTGATCACCTAATCTACCATAACTAGTATGAGGCAAGGCTGGAACCCAGGTTGACCCAACTCAGAGACTAGGCTGTACCTCTTCGTCTGCACAGTAAGTCACTTTATCTGCACAGTATCTTTCAGTAAAAGACACTGAAACCAAAAATCTTACCATCCTCTTTTATTCAGCCAGACTTATGTCCAGATCATTACCTCGGTCAATTTAGTATGTGACAATTTATTAACAGCTTATTTGTTGAACAATAAATTATTATTGGGACCACATGCGGCCTTCTGGATCTTTCAGTGTGGACTTTAGGATTTGTTCTGTGAAGTTTGGATTTGGTTGAGGGGCTGGAGGGCCACATGTAGCCCTGAGACTGCAGGTTCCCCACCTCTCCTGGTAAAAATAATTTTTACTGCAGAAATGGGTTTGTTGCCTTCTTTTTGAAGGTTTTTGAAGGTTTACATTTGTTACTAGAAGATCTAGTTTGCTACTTAATGCAAGAAAAAACCCCAATTATTAACAAAATCAGTATGAGATGGTGATTCTTAAAATTGTTATAATTATCAAAAATGGGGGCCAGTCGTGGTGGCTCATGCCTGTAATCCTAGTTCTTTGGGAGGCCGAGGCAGGAGGACCACTTGAGGTCAGGAGTTCAAGACCAGTCTGAGCAAGAGTGAGACCCTGTCTCTACAAAACATAGAAAAATTAGCTGGGCAAGGTGGTGCACACCTGTAGTCCAAGCTACTCGGGAGGCTGAGGCAGGAGGATTCCTTGAGCCCAGGAGTTTGAGGTTGCAGTGAGCTATGATCACTCCATCGCACACCCAGCCTGGGCAATGGAATGAGGCTGTCTTAAAAAAAAAACAAAAACACAAAATATATATTCTTCTCTGCAGCCAACCTCTGTCCTTAAAAAATATACATTTCCAAATTTGAATTACTTGTGAAAAATTACAAGTTAAAATCTCAAGTTATGAAGCTCAGCTTAAAACTTCAAAATAAAACATAATTTTTGGTATTGTTCTTTCATATTTGAACAAAAAAAACATTTGATTTAGAGATGCTTTCAAAGCAAACCCCAAATGCTCCATGCTCTTGACTATGGTTTAATTTAAAGGCAGCTGTGAAATAGCTTTATACTAATTAGATTTTTTATATTAAATAAGAATGAACTGGAAATTGGTGATTTACTCGACAGATATTGGACCTTGAAAATTAAATAATTATTCTAAAAACATTAGATCAACACTGATTTGAAATGCCTGTTTTGTAATTAACCATGAGTGAAAATGTGTGTTTAGTTCAAGTTGTGTTTTTGGTTTATATTAGCTTGACTTGATTATAAAGGAAAAAGAATACAAACCAAACAGCTTTGCAAGCCTCTGACTTCCTCTCATCCTGAAACACTACTTATTTAATTTTTTGTAAGAACTCTGTTAGTCTCTAAATTATTGCTTATCCTTACTATTGTACTTTCAAATCGGGCATATTTAGTCTTGATAATAGAGTAATTGAGGACGTGTGTATGTGTGAACGTGTTGAAAAATCAAGAAGCAGTCAACTTGCAGGCTAAAGAAAACTTTAGTAGAGAAAACTTCCAAAGTGAAAGTTTTAGGGTACCCATGGTACTCAGCCTCTTTTAAGACAGAAACAGTACATTTTTGGGGCTGAATTGTGATGGATTTGTGGCTTTTTGGTATAGAACTGTCTTTCTTTGTTGCAATTAAAGCCAGTGTATTCATTGTCTGGCCCTGTGTGCACTGGTGCAATCTTCTGTAACAGGCATGTAACAAAAGCTTGTTTCATGTGTCAGGCCAGGCATGGCGTGCAGGGCTGGTTAGTGCCACCCCACCCCCGTGTGGGGCAAGGTGGAGCTCTGTCTGATGGAGAAACTTGGGGGCATGCATGAAGGAAGAAAATTGAGGTCCTTTGCCTATTCTTTCAGAATGGGTACTTGTAAATACACCAAGAACTAACATGGCCATGATGCTCTGTCTCCTCATCCTTTCGAGTCAGTGTCAGCTACCAGGTGTGAAGTAGAGGCTAGATCGTTGAAGACTAGGGAAGGCATTGAGAGGTAGAAGGAGAATAGACATGCATGGAAGGGAGTAACTGATGGGGAAGACACATAGTAGGCAAATTCTGAGGTGCAAGAGGATCCTATGTCTTTCGGCACAGCTGTGTGTGTAACTGGACAGCCTCTCCCGCTTGCCTGTGATTCCTTTCAGGAGTCCCAGGCCCTACCCAAATGTCTTGAATGGATAATGACAACCTTCCTGAGCAGCATGGTGACATCACATACGTACAGGATCAGGGCATAAGGCAGCAGGCAATGAGCAGTGGGCAGTCCAAAGCAATTTGCTGAGTCTAGACGTGGTTGCATGAGACTCACTTTTTTTTTTTTTTTTGAGACAGAGTCTCACTTTGTTGCCCAGGCTAGAGTGAGTGCCGTGATGTCAGCCTAGCTCACAGCAACCTCAAACTCCTGGGCTCAAGCAATCCTGCTGCATCAGCCTCCCGAGTAGCTGGGACTACAGGCATGCGCCACCATGTCCAGCTAATTTTTTCTATATATATTAGTTGGCCAATTAATTTCTTTCTATTTATAGTAGAGACGGGGTCTCACTCTTGCTCAGGCTGGCTTTGAACTCCTGACCTTGAGCAATCCGCCCTCCTGGGCCTCCCAGAGTGCTAGGATTACAGGCGTGAGCCACGGCGCCCGGTGAGACTCACTTTTATGTGCCGTGGATGCTGCACTGAATATAAGGGACCAAGGACAAAACAGATGACATACTGGTAAAGAAACCACATATGTAACTTTAGTGCCAGTGGCTCTTCAGAGTCACACTTTGCATCTATAATTTGGGATCATTAGCAGTGCAACTGGTATTCAGTGTTTAACCATCGAATGACAAAAATATCTAGAACATCCAGGTGGTCTGTTTTCTTTTTTAAAAATATTGGATAGTTTTTAACAATTCTCCCCCCCTATATATATTATTTATTTATTTATTTATTTTTGAGACAGAGTCTCGCTTTGTTGCCCAGGCTAGAGTGAGTGCTGTGGTGTCAGCTTAGCTCACAGACACCTCAAACTCCTGGGCTCAAGCAATCCTGCTATCTCAGCCTCCCGAGTAGCTGGGACTACAGGCATGCACCACCATGCCTGGTTAATTTTTTCTATATATATTAGTTGGCCAATTAATTTCTTTCTATTTATAGTAGAGACGGTGGTCTCGCTCTTGCTCAAGCTGGTCTCGAACTCCTGACCTTGAGCAATCTGCACGCCTCGGCCTCCCAGAGTGCTAGAATTACAGGTGTGAGCCACCACACCCAGCCTCCTTTATATATTTTAAAACAAATCAAACTGAGCTTATCTCTCTTACCATCTAGTATTTGCTCATATATATGCCTAGTTCATACACTTGAAGTGTGAGTACCTCATTCTGTATTCTGTTTTTATTCATTTTATCACACCCATTTCTTTTCCCTTATGTTTTGTTTACTTCTGCTTGTATATTTTTGAAGAAGCAATGCCATTCGCATAGATCAATATTCAAGAGGAACAAAAGGGAATACGGTGAAAAGTACCTCTCCCTCCTCCGGCCCCCAGCTGCCCAGTTTTCAACTTCAAAGTCAACCAATATTATATGGTTCTTATATTTCCTTGCAAAAGTATCTTACTAACACACAGGCCGATGCATATAAATGGCCTCTCCCTTTTACACGGCAGCCTACTAGGTAACAATTTTGTGTACTTTGCCTTTTTCACTAAACAATATATCTTTGAGCTCATTCCATATTGTTTATACTTAAAAAAAATCTTGTAAGATTTTCTATCACTCTATATCACTCCAACATGCCACTGACTGCAGCGTCCCCCTCCCTTCTCCTGCACACACTTTCTGCCACCTCCATGGTCTCTCATCTCCTGACTCCTTGCTGTCCCTACGATCTGTCAGCTTCCCTATATTTTCCCTTCTGCCCAGACATCGTCCTGTTTAGGTCCCCTCAACCACCGTGCCACATTGCTGCTTGGCTGCAGGTTTTGATTTTATTTTTTCCCCAGCTGAAAAAACTGTAACCATGGATGAGTCCAAACATCCTTTTCTACTTTCTTATACTTGGGCTGCTGGATGTTCTAGAGGAAATTACACTAATGTGCAGATGGGTGCCACAACACATTTATGATAACTGATCTCACACGTCCCATATGCCCAGAAGTTATATGTCCCTAATAAGCTCTTCAACTCATTCTCTCCAGTCACTCTTCCCACCAGAATGATTTTTCTAACATGCAAATATGATCACATTAGAATTTTTCAATGGCATCTCATCACCTGTAATACTGTTTCTCAACTTGTGATCCTTGGTCTACCATTAAGTTCAAAATCATTTATCCTAAGAAATTTTTGTTTCTTTAAAACTACTTTCACTGAGGCACATACAATAAATAGGACCAATTTAAGTGCCCATTTTGATAAATTTTGACAAATGTATATATATCTGTGTAACCACCACCACAATCAAGATATGGAAAATTTCCATCATTCCCCAAAAGTTCCCTTGTGTCCACCTTCGGAGTCAATCTCTCCTCCACCCAAGGTAACCACTAATCCACTCTCATCATCAACTAGTTTTGCCTGACTTAAAACTTAATATAAATGAAATCATATCATACCTTTTGCATCTTTTTAATTAGTATGTTTTTTTGTTTTTTTTGGACAGAGTCTCGCTTTCTTGCCTAGGCTAGAGTGAGTTTCATGGTGTCAGCCTAGCTCACAGCAACCTCAAACTCCTGGGCTCAAGCAATCCTACTGCCTCAGCCTCCCAAGTCGCTGGGACTACAGGCATGCGCCACCATGCCCGGCTAATTATTATATATATTAGTTGGCCAATTAATTTTTTCTATTTTTATAGTAGAGATGGGGTCCTCGCTCAGGCTGGTTTTGAACTCCTGACCTTGAGCAATCACCCGCCTCGGCCTCCCAGAGTGCTAGGATTACAAGCGTGAGCCACTGCGCCCGACCTTCATTAGTATGTTTTTTGAGGTGTATCCATGTAATTGTGTATTTCAACAGTTCATTCCTTTTAATGCTGAATAATATTTTATTGCATGAAAACACAACAGTTGTTGTAAATCTATTCACCTGTTCTTCACTTCTGAGATAATTTCATCCATTCTCTTTCTGTTCTCTCTGTTACTCCCTCTGCCCAAATGATAGACTGGACTGATTCTATAAGTTAGCCTTACTATTGTCTATATCTTTGACTTTTTTT